GACCCTAGTCTTAGTAGGACTTCCCTGTCAAAATACCGGTTAAAGAAGATCTATAACCCCTGACCTCTAACCCAGTCCGTCTCTCAGATCCATAACCCCTGACCTCTAACCCCTGTCTGTCTCTCTGATCCATAACCCCTGACCTCTAACCCTGTCTGTCTGTCAGATCCATAACCCCTGACCTCTAACCCTGTCTGTCTGTCAGATCCATAACCCCTGACCTCTAACCCCTGTCTGTCTGATCCATAACCCCTGACCTCTAACCCCTGTCTGTCTGTCTGATCCATAACCCCTGACCTCTAACCCCTGTCTGTCAGATCCATAACCCCTGACCTCTAACCCCTGTCTGTCAGATCCATAACCCCTGACCTCTAACCCCTGTCTGTCTGATCCATAACCCCTGACCTCTAACCCAGTCCGTCTCTCAGATCCATAACCCCTGACCTCTAACCCCTGTCTGTCTGTCTGTCTGATCCATAACCCCTGACCTCTAACCCCTGTCTGTCTGTCAGATCCATAACCCCTGACCTCTAACCCCTGTCTGTCTGTCTGTCTGATCCATAACCCCTGACCTCTAACCCCTGTCTGTCTGTCAGATCCATAACCCCTGACCTCTAACCCCTGTCTGTCTGTCTGATCCATAACCCCTGACCTCTAACCCAGTCCGTCTCTCAGATCCATAACCCCTGACCTCTAACCCGTCTGTCTGTCTGTCAGATCCATAACCCCTGACCTCTAACCCTGTCTGTCTCTCAGATCCATAACCCCTGACCTCTAACCCAGTCCGTCTCTCAGATCCATAACCCCTGACCTCTAACCCATCTGTCTCTCAGATCCATAACCCCTGACCTCTAACCCATCTGTCTCTCAGATCCATAACCCCTGACCTCTAACCCCTGTCTGTCTCTCAGATCCATAACCCCTGACCTCTAACCCCTGTCTGTCTGATCCATAACCCCTGACCTCTAACCCCTGTCTGTCTGTCTGATCCATAACCCCTGACCTCTAACCCCTGTCTGTCTGATCCATAACCCCTGACCTCTAACCCCTGTCTGTCTGTCAGATCCATAACCCCTGACCTCTAACCCCTGCCTGTCTGTCAGATCCATAACCCCTGACCTCTAACCCCTGTCTGTCTGTCAGATCCATAACCCCTGACCTCTAACCCCTGTCTGTCTCTCTGATCCATAACCCCTGACCTCTAACCCCTGTCTGTCAGATCCATAACCCCTGACCTCTAACCCCCGTCTGTCTGTCTGTCAGATCCATAACCCCTGACCTCTAACCCCTGTCTGTCAGATCCATAACCCCTGACCTCTAACCCCTGCCTGTCTGTCAGATCCATAACCCCTGACCTCTAACCCGTCTGTCTGTCTCTCAGATCCATAACCCCTGACCTCTAACCCCTGTCTGTCTCTCAGATCCATAACCCCTGACCTCTAACCCCTGTCTGTCTCTCAGATCCATAACCCCTGACCTCTAACCCCTGCCTGTCTGTCAGATCCATAACCCCTGACCTCTAACCCGTCTGTCTGTCTCTCAGATCCATAACCCCTGACCTCTAACCCCTGTCTGTCTGTCTCTCAGATCCATAACCCCTGACCTCTAACCCCTGTCTGTCTCTCAGATCCATAACCCCTGACCTCTAACCCCTGTCTGTCTGATCCATAACCCCTGACCTCTAACCCCTGTCTGTCAGATCCATAACCCCTGACCTCTAACCCCTGTCTGTCTGTCTGATCCATAACCCCTGACCTCTAACCCAGTCCGTCTCTCAGATCCATAACCCCTGACCTCTAACCCCTGTCTGTCTGTCTGATCCATAACCCCTGACCTCTAACCCCTGTCTGTCTGTCTGATCCATAACCCCTGACCTCTAACCCCTGTCTGTCAGATCCATAACCCCTGACCTCTAACCCCTGTCTGTCTCTCTGATCCATAACCCCTGACCTCTAACCCCTGTCTGTCCGTCAGATCCATAAACCCTGACTTCTAACCCCTGTCTGTCTGTCTGATCCATAACCCCTGACCTCTAACCCCTGTCTGTCTCTCAGATCCATAACCCCTGACCTCTAACCCCTGCCTGTCTCTCAGATCCATAACCCCTGACCTCTAACCCCTGTCTGTCTGTCTGATCCATAACCCCTGACCTCTAACCCCTGTCTGTCTGATCCATAACCCCTGACCTCTAACCCGTCTGTTTGTCTCTCAGATCCATAACCGCTATGAAGGGAAGGACATCTCTCCTCACAGGAGGAACCTGGTGATAGCAGGAGGAGTCACTCTGTCTGTCTTCATGTCCCCCGTGGTGGCAGCCGTCTCTGTCGGTCAGTACACTTTACTGTGTAGCTTTACACCAAGAATACTACTGACCACAAGCTTTGTGGCTTCCCCGGATGGGAACAACACTTCTGTTTTCCTTGACAACCTGTAACACTGAACAACTGTAGCTTCCTGTCTGGCAAGGTTGGCCGATGATTGTCTGAGAGACTCATAAAGCTTATTGATTTGTTTTTGTTTGCCATTGCTGCATTTTTCATTGAAGTTCACCTAATGTTAAATCATTAGTTTCCTTTCAAACTGAGTTCTATGTTTCTTCTCTAATACACTAAAATTAGGAAGTAGTGACTGACGGTGCTGTTAGGAGACACAGTGGCCTCTGGTTGTTAAGATGAGGAAGTAGTGACTGACGGTGCTGTTAGGAGACAGTGGCCTCTGGTTGTTAAGATGAGGAAGTAGTGACTGACGGTGCTGTTAGGAGACAGTGGCCTCTGGTTGTTAAGATGAGGAAGTAGTGACTGACGGTGCTGTTAGGAGACAGTGGCCTCTGGTTGTTAAGATGAGGAAGTAGTGACTGACGGTGCTGTTAGGAGACAGTGGTCTCTGGTTGTTAAGATGAGGAAGTAGTGACTGACGGTGCTGTTAGGAGACAGTGGCCTCTGGTTGTTAAGATGAGGAAGTAGTGACTGACGGTGCTGTTAGGAGACACAGTGGCCTCTGGTTGTTAAGATGAGGAAGTAGTGACTGACGGTGCTGTTAGGAGACACAGTGGCCTCTGGTTGTTAAGATGAGGAAGTAGTGACTGACGGTGCTGTTAGGAGACACAGTGGCCTCTGGTTGTTAAGATGAGGAAGTAGTGACTGACGGTGCTGTTAGGAGACAGTGGCCTCTGGTTGTTAAGATGAGGAAGTAGTGACTGACGGTGCTGTTAGGAGACACAGTGGCCTCTGGTTGTTAAGATGAGGAAGTAGTGACTGACGGTGCTGTTAGGAGACAGTGGCCTCTGGTTGTTAAGATGAGGAAGTAGTGACTGACGGTGCTGTTAGGAGACAGTGGCCTCTGGTTGTTAAGATTAGGAAGTAGTGACTGACGGTGCTGTTAGGAGACAGTGGCCTCTGGTTGTTAAGATGAGGAAGTAGTGACTGACGGTGCTGTTAGGAGACAGTGGCCTCTGGTTGTTAAGATGAGGAAGTAGTGACTGACGGTGCTGTTAGGAGACAGTGGCCTCTGGTTGTTAAGATGAGGAAGTAGTGACTGACGGTGCTGTTAGGAGACACAGTGGCCTCTGGTTGTTAAGATGAGGAAGTAGTGACTGACGGTGCTGTTAGGAGACAGTGGCCTCTGGTTGTTAAGATGAGGAAGTAGTGACTGACGGTGCTGTTAGGAGACACAGTGTTCTCTGGTTGTTAAGATGAGGAAGTAGTGACTGACGGTGCTGTTAGGAGACACAGTGGCCTCTGGTTGTTAAGATGAGGAAGTAGTGACTGACGGTGCTGTTAGGAGACACAGTGGCCTCTGGTTGTTAAGATGAGGAAGTAGTGACTGACGGTGCTGTTAGGAGACACAGTGGCCTCTGGTTGTTAAGATGAGGAAGTAGTGACTGACGGTGCTGTTAGGAGACACAGTGGCCTCTGGTTGTTAAGATGAGGAAGTAGTGACTGACGGTGCTGTTAGGAGACAGTGGCCTCTGGTTGTTAAGATGAGGAAGTAGTGACTGACGGTGCTGTTAGGAGACCAGTGGCCTCTGGTTGTTAAGATGAGGAAGTAGTGACTGACGGTGCTGTTAGGAGACACAGTGGCCTCTGGTGTTAAGATGAGGAAGTAGTGACTGACGGTGCTGTTAGGAGACAGTGGCCTCTGGTTGTTAAGATGAGGAAGTAGTGACTGACGGTGCTGTTAGGAGACACAGTGGCCTCTGGTTGTTAAGATGAGGAAGTAGTGACTGACGGTGCTGTTAGGAGACAGTGGCCTCTGGTTGTTAAGATGAGGAAGTAGTGACTGACGGTGCTGTTAGGAGACAGTGGCCTCTGGTTGTTAAGATTAGGAAGTAGTGACTGACGGTGCTGTTAGGAGACAGTGGCCTCTGGTTGTTAAGATGAGGAAGTAGTGACTGACGGTGCTGTTAGGAGACACAGTGGCCTCTGGTTGTTAAGATGAGGAAGTAGTGACTGACGGTGCTGTTAGGAGACAGTGGCCTCTGGTTGTTAAGATGAGGAAGTAGTGACTGACGGTGCTGTTAGGAGACAGTGGCCTCTGGTTGTTAAGATGAGGAAGTAGTGACTGACGGTGCTGTTAGGAGACAGTGGCCTCTGGTTGTTAAGATGAGGAAGTAGTGACTGACGGTGCTGTTAGGAGACAGTGGCCTCTGGTTGTTAAGATGAGGAAGTAGTGACTGACGGTGCTGTTAGGAGACACAGTGGCCTCTGGTTGTTAAGATGAGGAAGTAGTGACTGACGGTGCTGTTAGGAGACAGTGGCCTCTGGTTGTTAAGATGAGGAAGTAGTGACTGACGGTGCTGTTAGGAGACAGTGGCCTCTGGTTGTTAAGATGAGGAAGTAGTGACTGACGGTGCTGTTAGAAGACACAGTGGCCTCTGGTTGTTGTCTACTGTCCCTCCTGAGGGTGTGAGGTGGTTCACGTTCTCTCTCTCTCTGTGTGTGTGTGTGTGTGTGTGTGTGTGTGTGTGTGTGTGTGTGTGTGTTGTGTGTGTGTGTGTCCAGGCATCGGTGTGCCCATCATGCTGGCGTACGTGTACGGCGTGGTGCCCATCTCTCTGTGTCGCAGCGGGGGCTGTGGTGTCTCCGCCGGTAACGGGAAAGGAGTCCGCATCGAGTTTGACGACGAGAACGAGATGAACGTAAGGAGCGGGGCGCAAGCTACCGGTACGTCACACACACACACACACACACACACACACACACACACACACACACACACACACACACACACACACTGAGGAACCTCATGTGTTTAGTCTGAATCATTTGTGGGAGCTGACTAATTGTGACTGGACTCTGATGAGCTCTGCCTCTCTAAAGGAGGAGAATGTTCTGCCAGTTGTCTGTTGTCTAAAGGGTTTGACGTCTTTTCTAGAAGATCTGCAAAGGCCATAGAATGCAGTGAACCGACAAGAGAAAGGCCTTGCTGCCGAAGCCTTGACAATAAAGTCTCCATCCTCCTGTTTTTCAATAGTGTAGAGCAGTGGTTCCCTCCTCCAGTCCTCCAGTACCCCCCCAACAGTCCTCCAGTACCCCAACAGCCCAACTCCAGTCCTCCAGTACCCCCCCAACAGTCCTCCAGTACCCCAACAGCCCAACTCCAGTCCTCCAGTACCCCCCCAACAGTCCTCCAGTACCCCAACAGCCCAACTCCAGTCCTCCAGTACCCCCCCAACAGTCCTCCAGTACCCCAACAGCCCAACTCCAGTCCTCCAGTACCCCCCCAACAGTCCTCCATACCCCAACAGCCCAACTCCAGTACCCATACCCCCCAACAGTCCTCCAGTACCCCAACAGCCCACTCCATCCTCCCACCCCCCCAACATCCTCCAGTACCCCAACAGCCCACTCCAGTCCTCCAGTACCCCCCACCCCCTACCCCGCTCCTCCAGTCTCAGCCCCAACAGCCCACTCCATCCTCCGTACCTCCAACAGCCCACTCCAGTCCTCCAGTACCCCAACAGCCCTACTCCAGTCCTCCAGTACCCCCACAGCCCAACTCCAGTCCTCCAGTACCCCAACAGCCCAACTCCAGTCCTCCATTACCCCCAACAGCCTCTCCAGTCCTCCAGTACCCCAACAGCCCAACTCCAGTCCTCCAGTACCCCAACAGCCCACTCCAGTCTCCTCCCACGTACTCTCCCCATACCCAACAGCCCACTCCAGTCCTCCGTACCCCAACAGCCCAACTCCAGTCCTTTCCAGTACCCCAACAGCCCTACTCCAGTCCTCCAGTACCCCCCAACCCACAAGTCCCAACAGCCCAGCCTCCAGTCCCACCCCAACAGCCCACTCCAGTCCTCCAGTACCCCCCAACAGCCCCTAACTCCAGTCCTCCAGTCCCCCAACAGCCCACTCCAGTCCTCCAGTACCCCCCACCGTCCTCCAGTACCCCCAACAGCCCAACTCCAGTCCTCCAGTACCCCCAACCAGTCCCTCCAGTACCCCCAACAGCCCCAACTCCATGTCCTCCAGTACCCCCAACAGCCCAACTCCAGTCCTCCAGTACCCCCCCAACAGCCCAACTCCAGTCCTCCCAGTACCCCCCAACAGCCCAACTCCAGTCCTCCATACCCCCCCACACCCACCAGTACCCCCCCCAACAGCCCAAACTCCAAGTCCTCCAGTACCCCCCAACAGCCCCAACTCCAGTCCTCCAGTACCCCCCCAACAGCCCTACTCCAGTCCTCCAGTACCCCCAACAGCCCTACTCCAGTACCGCCCAACTCCAGTCCTCCAGTACCCCCCCCAACAGCCCAACTCCAGTCCTCCAGTACCCCCCAACAGCCCAACTCCAGTCCTCCAGTACCCCCAACAGCCCTCCAGTACCCCCCAACAGCCCAACTCCAGTCCTCCAGTACCCCCCAACAGCCCAACTCCAGTACCCCAACAGCCCAACTCCAGTCCTCCAGTACCCCCCAACAGCCCAACTCCAGTCCTCCAGTAACCCCAACAGCCCAACTCCAGTCCTCCAGTACCCCCAACAGCCCTCCAGTACCCCCAACAGCCCAACTCCAGTCCTCCAGTACCCCCAACAGCCCAACTCCAGTCCTCCAGTACCCCCCAACAGCCCAACTCCAGTCCTCCAGTACCCCAACAGCCCAACTCCAGTCCTCCAGTACCCCCCAACAGCCCAACTCCAGGACTGCAGTTTGGCTGTTAGGGGTAGTGGAGGACTGTAGTTGGAAACCACTGCTCTGGGGTAGAAATGGGGGAGTCTTGTCTCTTTTTTTTTTTTTTTTTAAGAGCGTCTCTGATGAACTCCTCCTCTCTCCCCTGTCTCCTCAGACACGACCTCTGTGGCGGACACGAGGAACAACCCCAGCATCGGAGAGGGCAGCGTGGGGGGTATGACTGGCAGTCTGAGTGCCAGCGGGAGCCACGTGGACCGGATGGGCGCCACGAGGGACAACCTGAGTGAGAACGCCTCCACCATGGCGCTGGCTGGGGCCAGCATCACCGGCTCTCTGTCTGGCAGCGCCATGGTCAACTACCTAAACAGGTCGGTACTTTTGATTTGATTGAACCTTTATTAAATCTGGTTAGTGTCGTTAAGATAAAGAGACCTGAACCAAGACAGCAGCATCAACACATCAGTTTCAGACAAACGGTCACATGACATCACCCAGACAGACGTCAATACAACAAACAGCCTGCCCGTAACCAGCCGCCTGCCCGTAACCAGCCGCCTGCCCGTAACCAGCCGCCTGCCCGTAACCAGGCCGCCTGCCCGTAACCGGCCGCCTGCCCGTAACCGGCCGCCTGCCCGTAACCAGCCGCCTGCCCCCTAACCGGCCGCCTGCCCGTAACCGGCCGCCTGCCCGTAACCGGCCGCCTGCCCGTAACCAGCCGCCTGCCCGTAACCCGCCGCCTGCCCGTAACCGGCCGCCTGCCCGTAACCGGCCGCCTGCCCGTAACCGGCCGCCTGCCCGTAACCGGCCTCCTTTCCCGTTTAAACCGGCCGCCTGCCCTACCGGCCCCCTGCCCTAACCGGCCGCCTGCCCTAACCGTCCGCCGCCTGCCCGTAACCGCCTCCTGCCCGTACCTCCGCCTGCCCGTTAACCCCCTCCGCCCTGCCCGTAACCGGCGCCTTGCCCCTTAACCGGCCGCCTGCCCGTAACCGCCGCCTGCCCGTAACCGGCCGCCTGCCCGTAACCGACCGCCTCCCTAACCGGCCGCCTCCCGTAACCGGCCGCCTGCCGTAACCGGCCGCCTGCCCGTAACCGCCGCCTTTCCCTTAACCCGCCGCCTGCCCGTAACCGGCCGCCTGCCCGTAACCGGCCGCCTGCCCGTAACCGGCCGCCTGCCCGTAACCGGCCGCCTGCCCGTAACCGGCCGCCTGCCCGTAACCGGCCGCCTGCCCGTAACCGGCCGCCTGCCCGTAACGCATGTAACCACCCGTATCCAGAAAAACGTTTTAAAAAGCCCCCAAAAAATGTTTTGTCACATCCACTGGATAGGTGGATTTGTACAGGGTCAGTCATAGTAGTATGATAGGTGTTGTTATACAGGGGCAGTAGTATGATAGGTGTTGGTTTACAGGGTCAGTCATAGTAGTATGATAGGTGTTGGTTTACAGGGTCAGTCATAGTAGTATGATAGGTGTTGGTTTACAGGGTCAGTCGTATGATAGGTGCAGTGTAATGTGTTGTTTTATATGGTCAGTCATAGCAGTACAGCACCCCTGGAGCAAATTAGGGATACATGCCTTGCTCAAGGGCACATTGACAGATTTTTCACCTTGTGGGCTCGGGTATTTGAACCAGCGACCTTTGGGTTACTGGGCGAACGCTCTAACCACTAGGCTACCTGACGCCCCAGGGCGTTATTAGGGCGTGGATCACAGGGCTGACGCCCCAGGGCGTTATTAGGGCGTGGATCACAGGGCTGACGCCCCAGGGCGTTATGCTTGGATCCAGGGCCCCAGGGCGTTATTAGGGCGTTGGATCACAGGGCTGACGCCCCAGGGCGTTATTAGGGCGTGGATCACAGGGCTGACGCCCCAGGGCGTTATTAGGGCTTGGATCACAGGGCTGACGCCCCAGGGCGTTATTAGGGCTTGGATCACAGGGTGACGCCCAGGGCGTTATTAGGGCTTGGATCCAGGGCTGACGCCCCAGGGCGTTATTAGGGGCTTGGATCACAGGGCTGACGCCCCAGGGCGTTATTAGGGCTTGGATCACAGGGCTGACGCCCCAGGTGCGTTATTAGGGCGTGGATCACAGCTGACGCCCCAGGCGTTATTAGGCTTGATCACAGGGTGAGCCCGGCGTTATTAGGGCTTGGATCACAGGCTGACGCCCCAGGGCGTTATTAGGGCTGGATTCACAGGGCTGACCCCCAGGGCGTTATTAGGGCGTGGATCACAGGGTGACGCCCCAGGGCGTTATTAGGGCGTGGATCACAGGGCTGACGCCCCAGGGCGTTATTAGGGCGTGGATCACAGGGCTGACGCCCCAGGGCGTTATTAGGGCGTGGATCACAGGGCTGACGCCCCAGGGCGTTATTAGGGCGTGGATCACAGGGCTGACGCCCCAGGGCGTTATTAGGGCTTGGATCACAGGGCTGACGCCCCAGGGCGTTATTAGGGCTTGGATCACAGGGCTGACGCCCCAGGGCGTTATTAGGGCGTGGATCACAGGGCTGACGCCCCAGGGCGTTATTAGGGCGTGGATCACAGGGCTGACGCCCCAGGGCGTTATTAGGGCTTGGATCACAGGGCTGACGCCCCAGGGCGTTATTAGGGCTTGGATCACGGGGCTGACGCCCCAGGGCGTTATTAGGGCGTGGATCACAGGGCTGACGCCCCAGGGCGTTATTAGGGCGTGGATCACAGGGCTGACTCCCAGGGCGTTATTAGGGCTTGGATCACAGGGCTGACGCCCCAGGGCGTTATTAGGGCTTGGATCACAGGGCTGACGCCCCAGGGCGTTATTAGGGCTTGGATCACAGGGCTGGACGCCCCAGGGCGTTTATTAGGGCTTGGATCACAGGGCTGACGCCCCAGGGCGTTATTAGGGCGTGGATCACAGGGCTGACGCCCCAGGGCGTTATTAGGGCTTGGATCACAGGGCTGACGCCCCAGGGCGTTATTAGGGCTTGGATCACAGGGCTGACGCCCCAGGGCGTTATTAGGGCGTGGATCACAGGGCTGACGCCCCAGGGCGTTATTAGGGCGTGGATCACAGGGCTGACGCCCCAGGGCGTTATTAGGGCGTGGATCACAGGGCTGACGCCCCAGGGCGTTATTAGGGCGTGGATCACAGGGCTGACGCCCAGGGCGTTATTAGGGGCGTGGATCACAGGGCTGACGCCCCAGGGCGTTTATTAGGGCGTGGATCACAGGGCTGACGCCCCAGGGCGTTATTAGGGCGTTGGATCACAGGGCTGACGCCCCAGGCGTATTTAGGGCTTGGATCACAGGGCTGACGCCCCAGGGCGTTATTAGGGCGTGGATCACAGGGCTGACGCCCCATGGGGTTATTAGGGCGTGGATCACAGGGCTGACGCCCAGGGCGTTATTAGGGCTTAATGCACAGGGCTGATGCCCCCAGGGCGTTATTAGGGTCTTGGGATCACGGGGCTGACGCCCCAGGGCGTTATTAGGGCGTGGATCACAGGGCTGACGCCCCGTGCGTTATTAGGGCGTGGATCAACAGGGCTGACGCCCCAGGGCGTTATTAGGGCTTGGATCACAGGGCTGACGCCCCAGGGCGTTATTAGGGCGTGGATCACAGGCTGACGCCCCAGGGCGTTTATAGGGCGTGGATCACAGGGCTGACGCCCCAGGGTCGTTATTAGGGCTTGGATCACAGGGCTGACGCCCCAGGGCGTTATTAGGGCGTGGATCACAGGGCTGACGCCCCAGGGCGTTATTAGGGGCGTGGATCACAGGGCTGACGCCCCAGGGCGTTCTTAGGGCGTGGATCACAGGGCTGACGCCCCTGGGCGTTATTAGGGCGTGGAATCACAGGGCTGACGCCCCCAGGGCGTTATTAGGGGCGTGGATCAACAGGGCTGACGCCCCAGGGCGTTATTAGGGCTGTGATCACAGGGCTGACGCCCCCAGGGCGTTATTAGGGCGTGGATCACAGGGGCTGACGCCCCAGGGCGTTATTAGGGCGTGGATCACAGGCTGAGCCCCATGCGTTATAGGGCGTGGATCACAGGGCTGACGCCCAGGGCGTTATTAGGGCTTGGATCACGGGGCTGACGCCCCAGGGCGTTATTAGGGCGTGATCACAGGGCGTGACGCCCCAGGGCGTTATTAGGGCTTGGATCACGGGGCTGACGCCCCAGGGCGTTATTAGGGCGTGGATCACGGGGCTGACGCCCCAGGGCGTTATTAGGGCGTGGATCACAGGGCTGACGCCCCAGGGCGTTATTAGGGCTTGGATCACGGGGCTGACGCCCCAGGGCGTTATTAGGGCGTGGATCACGGGGCTGACGCCCCAGGGCGTTATTAGGGCGTGAATCACGGGGCTGACGCCCCAGGGCGTTATTAGGGCTTGGATCACGGGGCTGACGCCCCAGGGCGTTATTAGGGCTTGGATCACGGGGCTGACGCCCCAGGGCGTTATTAGGGCTTGGATCACGGGGCTGACGCCCCAGGGCGTTATTAGGGCGTGGATCACAGGGGCTGACGCCCCAGGGCGTTATTAGGGCTTGGATCACAGGGCTGACGCCCCAGGGCGTTATTAGGGCGTGAATCACGGGGCTGACGCCCCAGGGCGTTATTAGGGCTTGGATCACAGGGCTGACGCCCCAGGGCGTTATTAGGGCTTGGATCACGGGGCTGACGCCCCAGGGCGTTATTAGGGCTTGGATCACAGGGCTGACGCCCCAGGGCGTTATTAGGGCTTGGATCACGGGGCTGACGCCCCAGGGCGTTATTAGGGCGTGAATCACAGGGCTGACGCCCCAGGGCGTTATTAGGGCTTGGATCACGGGGCTGACGCCCCAGGGCGTTATTAGGGCGTGAATCACAGGGCTGACGCCCCAGGGCGTTATTAGGGCTTGGATCACAGGGCTGACGCCCCAGGGCGTTATTAGGGCTTGGATCACGGGGCTGACGCCCCAGGGCGTTATTAGGGCTTGGATCACGGGGCTGACGCCCCAGGGCGTTATTAGGGCGTGAATCACGGGGCCATGACAGGATCAGAAAGACACAAGATGCTTTCTTACCAGCATCAGGTGACTACTAGAAACTACTGCACATCTCAACAACCTGTTCATCTATTTGTGTTTTGAACTCCTCTAGTGACACCAGGTCCTGGAGTTTTAGGTTGGCTTGGAGGGAATTCCAAGACCAGATCAACTACCTCAACAGGTCAGTGATAGGGTCAACTACCTCAACAGGTCAGTGATAGGGTCAACTACCTCAACAGGTCAGTGATAGGGTCAACTACCTCAACAGGTCAGTGTTAGGGTCAACTACCTCAACAGGTCAGTGTTAGGGTCAACTACCTCAACAGGTCAGTGTTAGGGTCAACTACCTCAA